TTGGGTCGGGGCGGAAACCGTAGTTCAAAACAGCTAAAAAAAAGCCCACTAAATTTTTCCCGCTAATTTAGGGGAAAATAAATTTTCCGCTTAAATTAGGGTGGGTAAAATTTTGGCAAAAAACCCATTTCATTTTTTAAGGATTTTAAAACCATTGGATGAACTCTTTAAAGAAACAAAAAAAGGCGATAATTCATTTTTTTTTTAAAAATTTTTCCCCGTTTTTTTAACATTTTAATGGGGGGAATTTCTTTGAAAAAAGACAAAAAACAAAAAATGTTATTTAAAAAGGTTTCTTCTGATGTTTTTGGGTTTTATTTTTTTCATTAAAATAATTTTAAAATAACCTTTCCCCGTAAAAACTTTCAACAGCCCTCAAAATGCCCTGGAAAGGGGCATTAAATTTAGTGAAAAAAGTAAAATATTTTGTTGGGAAGAGAAAAAAACACTTCTCCCTTTCAAAAATAATACCATTTTTAATGTTGCGGTGGGGATGGGAAACCCCTGTAACTTTTTTAAGTTGTCTGCTTTTTGGGTGCTAGACGGATTTGTGTTGGGGGTTTTTAAATTTTTGGAAAGTGATTTTTGGCAACGGGGTTTTAATAAAAAGGATCCCAAAAACATATATTTTTGGGGTTTGGGGGCCCCTTTTGAAAAAAAAAACTTTTTTTTTTTTCTAATTTTAATTTAAAATTGTTTTTTAAATTATCAAAACATTTTTTGGAAATTTTTTAAAGGGAATGAAAAAAAGATGATAATTTTTAAATTCAAAAACCCATTTAAAAGAAAAGGAATAAAAAAAGTTTAAAATCAACATGCATTAAAGCGAATAGTTTTTGGCAGAAAAAAACAAAAAGCTTTTCCCGACAAAAAAGCGAAAAGGAAAAGTATCCCAAAAAACGTTTTCCTTTGGAATATGTTTTTAAATTTTTTAAATTTGAAATATAAACCATAGTTAGGGCCCCCAGGGGTTGCTTTCTTGGTTTTCTAAAGGTCAAAAAAAATTTGAAAAACAAAACCCGTAAATTATGGGCTTGTGATATAAACAATATGTTGAATAGGAAAAAAATATAAATACAAATACCTTGATCAGTTGGTAACATATCATTTCTCTGTTGTGCAACTCAAATACACTCTTGAAATAAATAATTGTTACATTTAACGAAAAAAGGTATAAGATACATACTTATGACATTCAGCGACAAGTCCTTCCTTTCTTGATTTATAAAGGCAAATGTTCACCATTTATGATATTTTGATCTGCCAAGACCGGATATGTTGATGAAGACATTGCTGTCGTCAGCACTGAATGAACATCTACCAACATACTACAATAGTTGTTGTCAAACAGACTTGTGGAATACATGCAGTCAGCGAGGTGATACCAGCAAGGGATAACGAAAGTCGAATATCACTCTTGTAAATACCTACCAAATTAGAATAACCAAACCCTGATATCTCACAAACAAGCTGTATATTACTTCCTTTTAATGCCGGTTTTTTGTCACGTATGTATATTCTCTCAACAATACCTTTATAATAATAATAATACATTCTTGATAAAAATAATGACAAAGATAAAGAATACATACTTATAACATTCAGCAGCATGTCTCTTCTCTGATTTCCTATGGTACATGTCCACCATTTCTGATCCTCTGATCTGTTTACACTCGATATGTTAATAAAGACAATACTGTTGTCAGCACTGAATGTATATCTACCAATACTTGTTGCCAGACAAATTGATTGGACACACTGGTTATCTGGGTTAATACCAGCAAGGCTTGACGGAAGACGAGAGTCCCTTTTGTAAACATGTAACACGTCTGAATTACTGAACTGTGATATCTCACATACAAGCTGGATATTACTTCCTTTTAATGCTGGTTTGTTCTCACGTATGTATATTCTCTCAACAGTACCTATAATCATCATAATTATGATAACAATAATAAAATGATAATACTAAGTTGCAGCTGTAATAAATTATGCTCAAGCCTCAGGAACAGTTTTTCTGTTTCTAAGTTGCAATTAGAAAGCAAAATGAATCGAGGATAAACTTCAACAAAAATAAAATGGAAATTAATTGAAATGATATTCCCTTCAGTATTATATAAATCAATTAAAGCCGTTAAGTATTATGAAGCACATTGGAGTGAAAAGAAATTTGATATGTCTTTTATCATTGTAGCTTGTACCAAGTGGATACATTAATAGTTTGCTACAACATATAATCTTAATATTCTTGATACGCTTAAATGCAAATACATGTCATTTTATCGGGATACAAATTCGTATTAATTTGAAATATTCATACATAAATTTTCCATCGCGTTTCTTAACCTTATGATTGGAAAAGAACTTAATATTTCATTATTTACTTTCAAAACCATTTAAAAATTAACATTTTACTATACGATTCATTTCTCAAAAAATATTTTCAACCAAATATTACTCTTAAGCTTAACCTATCTTTCATCTCCATACATTTACATTTTAACAACCTATAATTCATTTTCAAACATAAAGGACATTTATAAAAATAAATAATAATTAATCATTTGCCTTATAAATATTGTTTCATTAGTACTAGATATCCTTGACTTCTGTGTACTTGTCGCTATAAACCTTAGCTTCTACGATTCAACTCATAATATTTCTAATCTCGTTTGCTCGATAGTTCTTATATTTCAGTTCCAGATACCCGTTTTCTGTGTACAAGAAAATGTAACTATCATTAAGATCCGACTCTTACAAAGACTTACTAGTATTCAAACACATTTAAAATAAATGTTAACCTTAAAAACTTCAACTAAAACATTCGCCTAGAGGTTTAAAATGAATAGTTAAATACGGTGGTCCGTTGACAGTTCAACAGTACGACAAAGCGCGACAGTACGCGGCTAACAGTCCCGATTGTATGTAAGTATTGTCGCCATCGTAATTTTGCCCTGTTTCAACAATATCTTGAAATTATTTGTATAAAAAACAAGTGTGAGAAGTTAATAGACAATTTAAAATATATATACTTTGAATGATTGTCTTAACCTATATATATTTGATGATAAAAACTCTTATCATGCCTATTCTCTTGATTAGTTTACTAATTAACTGTAATATTTTCTTTTGACGAAAAAGTCAAATTTTAAAAGGTTTAAGGGGTACAAGTTTCAAGTAGCTGACACGAAATTTCCTTATTTTTGACCTTTGACCATGACCTAAATGAGAGACAGCAGTAGAGAGTTTTGCATACTGACTAGTAAAGATGAAAAATTTGGCAAAAAAAAAATTTTTTAAGGATTTATTTGACCACCCTTTGGAGGACATTTTTTTTTGGGAAGGGCTAAAGATTAAAAAAAATTAATATTTAATTCTAAATTTACCCTTAACTTTTAGCAACCCTTTTTTCCCATTTTTCAAATAAGTTTATTAGTTATCAAATTTTTTTTAATCAGCGGGTCAATAGCTACACTTGATCTTTAAGTGTGACATTGACTTTGAAGATAGCAACCATATAATTGCGCTCTACCATAGACTCTAAACGGCAATTACCTGTGACAAGTTACTTCAAACAATTTAAAGCGGTTTAAAAGTTATGGAGTGGACAAAAGTGTTACGGACGGACAGCCCGACGTCCTAATATTTTGGTTTCTACGTGGCTACTCTGTTGTTCTCTCTATTGCTATTGAGCCACATAGAAGAAGAATAATCACAATAGGGCTTACGGAATAAAAAGCATCAATTTGAAAAAAAAATTTACTAAAACATATTGTTCCTTAAGCCACCCATTGTATCTTTATGATTTTACAGGCCGACAGACGTAATCCACAGAGGTCATTCCAATCAATCCCTTGTCGTTATTAGGAAGGCAATAAATCTAAAGCTTTGAATTGTCAAATAAGTTATACAGCGGACATGAAAAATAGATGTTTTATCACAGGAATTTTGATTCTGAACCTGACCTTGAGGGTAGTGACTTGATTTTTGTGCACTGCACAAGGTCTCATTAATGTATTCAACGGCAACGAAAATGTAGATATTTTGACACTTGACCTTAATGTGAGACCTTGAACTTTGGGGTAGCAACCCAAATATTGCATTCAGCACATCGTCTCACAATGGTGATTAGTTGTGCAAAGTTTTTTTTTTTAAATTTCAGCAGTTCAATAGCTACACTTGACCTTTAAGTGTGACCCTGAACTTGGGGGAAGCAACCGTACTATTGCGCTTTGCACGCACATCGTCCTATAATGCCAAGTAATTAAAAAATTAAGCGCTTTAATAGTTAAGGAGCGGCACAAATGTATTACGGACGGACAGACGCAGGTCATTCCAAAATTCCATTCCCTGTTTTGCGGAAGGGGATCGCTAGCATGTTAGAATGGGAATAGTTATTATTTTTCTTCTTGCATTATAGAAATAATAATGCACGGGTTATCGTTCAAATGCTTATTGACATTCGTTTTAAATTCCTGCCCAACTGAACTCGAACCGTACATTATTATAAAACAATGCACTTAAAACTACTATTCATTTCCTTTAATTTATTGAGGTTATCATTAAGTATTTGTCGACAAAGGTTGCTATTTTCATTCACAAAAAAAATCGAAAACTGCCACTGGTTAGCATGGTAGTATAAAAATTTTGGACATGCTGTTGGAAAGTCATTCTTTATTATGGGACCAGAGTAATCTTAAAATTCGTTACACAACTCTGTGCTTGGTTTAGGTACGATGAGTTTAGCATGTTGCAAATATCTTAAGTGTGTGTGTTAAAATGTGTCCGTCATTTACTTATCATATTCTTATGAAACAAAATTCATTTTTAGTTTCATATGTAAGAATTGCCTTTTTGTACTTTTTTCTTTGGTTTGAGGAATTGCCAATTTAGCTCTATTATTAGGCCATTTAATCGACTATTAAATATTTGTCCAAATTATTCTTGCAGTTTTTTTTAAATTTGATAAAAAGATGTGCTTACCGATATTAAATATTATATAATAATATTATATATTTTATATAATATATAATGCGACAGTAGTCCCAAAACTGTAGTTTATGCATCCAGAATTTGTAAGAGTATTCTTGAATTTAGATCAAGGTGTTTTGTAATTCTTATAAGAAAATAAGGATGTGCAGAGTAGGCAAAGCAGTATTTTTAGATATTAAAACCTTTATTGAAAATTTCATAGCTTTAGTTTTTTTTGCACATTTGGTTCCACTGCACTCCGCATGTGATATGAACTAACACTGTCAAGATGTGTTTGAAGGTTGTACCCGACTTCTTGTAAATGAATTACAGTAGTAGTAAGCGAAGTTTCATCTGCAATTGACCATTTTGTATATAGATGGAGATCATTTATGTATATTGGAATAGTAGAGGTTCAAGGCCTTGTGCCTCAATTCGAAGTACCCTAGAGACAATTTCAGCTGGCTCAGATAAAATACCAGAAACATTTACTTTTTGTTACCTGTTTTGCAGGTATGTTGCTATCAAATTTATAGACTGTGTTAGATTGTAGAAATGAAGTTGTTCAAGAAGACCTTTTTGTGGATCAAAATAAAGGCATAAGATAAATCAAGTCCAACACGTTTACCTTAACCAGGTGCATTTATAAAATTATCAAATTGTCTCGCATGCAAAATTACATGAATGTATCAAGAGCCGATGATTGGATATGAGTTAGTGATGCCGAAAGATATGTGACTTTCTAGAAGATTCCTAGAATATCGAGATTACTGTGTAATTCCTCGCAAAAAAAGATTTTTATTTTCCTTTTATTGCTGCATAGTTACAACATATTTATATTCTCTCAACTGTAATAATAATTTTAATCAATTAACCAACAAATTATTTAGAGTAGTATAATCAAAAACAGTTGTTCTTGTTATTAGCAGAGACATAGATAATAGAGATAAGCAGCTCCTATATACTCCATTGAAATATCACTCATGCCTATTAAAAAGCGAAAAATTAGGCATTTTGTAGGAAATAAAACTTAATGGATGTGCATTTGATCTTTTAATATTATATACCGTTTGAAAGGTACATCTTTTATCTATTGCTGCATGTAAAAATATTGGTAACTTTCCATGCCTTTCACTTAGAAAAACATAGCAGAACATACCCACTGAGCCAGTTTTTTCGTCATATGAATAGTTTTGTAACAAAAATTATTCAGTAGTTCTCTTTAAAAATTGATGTATCATTTATTTAAATGGGAACTGTAAATATTTTTACCTGCAGCCATAGACAAATGCATAAGCTTTCAGAAAATGTATTATTTTACTGATTTTGATATCTGGTTAATAAGTTTTACTTGCTACAAGTTTTAAGTTTAGCAGGCACGCGTGATATTTTAACTGGCTAGGAAGTTGCCAATCTCTGTTATCTATGTCTCTGTTATTAGTATGAAGTTTAAAAAAACAATTTTAGAATTAAAAAAAAAAACATCAACACGACGTGAACATAGATTCATTTCTCTTGCTCATAAACGCTTCAGTTAACACCTTCGAGTTAAATAGAACATGTACAATTTAAACATTCATTTTCTTAAAAGTCTGAATTATACAAATAATATAAGATATAAGTATTATTTTGGATAAAAAGATACATAGATTTCCAAAAGAGATATGTTATATATTTTCTTTTATATCAAAAAGTCTACTTTGGAAGTGAACGTGATTTGTAAGTATAATTTATGAAAATCAATTCTCATAATATTTATACTAAAATAAGTAGTAACTATTTTATATTATTACATGCTTTTCGGGGGTTTATAGAAATATATCAGTGAATTAAAACTGGTAATTTTACTGTTTAAAACAGTGAAATTATCAATTTGATAATTTCACTGTTTTGAATTTAAGCCCCTTACGTTGTTTCAGTGAAATACCAGCGTACACAGAACTGGAAACCAACT